AGAAGTCTGAGGCTGCAATGAGCTATAATGACACCACTGTGCTCTACCCAGGGCGACAGAGACCCTGTCTCAAAAAAATAACAAACAAGAAAATAAATGTTTAAATATATCAAACACTTGAAATACAGTCTAAAAGCTTGGTTTAAAGAATTTAAAACGTATATCCAACAATTAAAAGTATAAATGCTACACCCACACATTTAGGTGGCAGTTACAGAACTTACCAACGACCAGGTGTGTGGGTTCCAGACAGCATCTACCTGTGCGGTGCAGACCCCTCCTCCCACCAATAAAGTAAATAGAAAAACAATGAAATATCCGTAGCAGCTTAAACCAATAATCAATTTTATTTTTTCTCATGTAATAGGAAGTTGGAAGTAGCAAATCCAGGGCTAGTGCAGATATGTATGAGAGCCACAGGGGAGGCCAGGGTCACTGTGACCTTTCTGCAGTGACCTCCTTAGACCATGGCTTTCATCCTCATGGTCCCAAGACAAACCTTTTGGCACTAGGTACCGATCTCCTTGCAAGGTGAGAAGTAGGGTGGGAAGCACAGAACAGGATGTGTAGAGGAAGGTTCAGGTAAGAATGACCCCCTTTTAAAGAGCTTTCTCAGAAGCCCACACAGTGACACCTGCAGATTTATGTGACAATGGCCAGGGCTATGGGACATGGACCGTACTAGTTGCAAGAGCTGTAAGAGATTTTTAAAAATAGCACACCTTACTAATCTGACAGAACCTGCATTCCCTTGACATGGAAGAAGATGAGAGTAGATACTGGAGAAACAACTAGAAGTATATATGTCCACTCTTGGCTGGACAGCAGGCTACAAACATACCAAAGGTCCCTCCAACGGAGACGCCATGCTCTGATCACAATGCACTTGAATTACATACCAGTAACAAACAGGTACTAAAAAATACCCACGTTACACAGTACATAACACAATTCTAAATATGCCATTGGTCAAGGAAGTTATCCCAAAGGAAATTAAGACATATCGAGGATGAAGTACAGTAAAAGTGCTATATACAAACCTTTCCTGATGAGGCTTTAAGGGCTACTTAGAGGAGTGTAACCTTAAAAATAAAGACTAAAAATGAATGAGCCGGGGTCTGTTTTCATGATGGAAGAACGGTAAGTGCAATCCAATATCCACTGGAAAAATCCCACTGGGGTCTCTCTCAGGGGGAATTCTCACATGCACAGCAAGTGAGGCAATCGTGGCTGGAATCACCTCCACGTAGGGGTTACCATCACTGATTCTATTTTTAAAGTTTTGAAAAGGAATTTCTCCTAGTGTAAGTAGTCACAAGATTCATAAAAATGGAGGGATTACTGTGGGTAAAAACTGAGGAGTAACTGGGCGATTATTCGCAACCTCAGCAATGGTGATATCTGTGGGCACATAATTCTTTCTTTTCGGGGTTCCTGTGCATTGTAGGATATTTAGCACCATCCCTGATGTCTTCCTGCTACATGCCAGCAGTGCTTGCCCCCCACCCCCGCCATCGCATCCCCAGTTCAAACAACCAAACGTCTCCAGACGACATTGCCAAGTAATCTCTGGACAACAAAATCGTCCCCAGTTGAGAACCACAGCTGTAGGTCAAGGGTCAGCATCGCTTTTCTGGAAAGGGCCAGATAGCAAGGATTTTAGGTTTTATTCACCACATATGATCTCTGCCACATATTTTTCCTCTTTACAAATGGAACGCCTATTGTCAGCTTGTGAGCTATACAAAAACAGATAGCGGGCCATGGTTTGCTGACCCTTGTTAGCAACTGTCCCACATTCCTCACTTTTATTGACTTTTCTCTTCGGTGTGATTTCTCTCACGAAGAACAGTGTGAGACTGGGAAAGGTTTCCCCTCACGGGAGAGATTTACCTCCCTAGTGCGCTTATTAACTCTTGTGCCCAGAAGGTGAGAGGTGGTGCTAAATTCATTTCAACATCAGATGCCAAGCTGGGGCTTCTGTTCCCTAAGTTCTCATGTTTGTTAAGAGCAGAATGTACTCTGAAGACTTCTCCATGCTACAGAAGTACGTTTTCTACTCTAATAAGTTCTCACAAATCTTGAAGATGAGAACACCTTGTCTCCCTACAATCGTTATAGGAATTGGGTTTTTCCCGAGCTACATGTGTTCTTTTGTGCCCAGCAAGGAGAAAGCTTCCTGCCTTCTCACACCCACAAGGCTTGTTTCCAGTCTGAGTGCTCATGTCTCTTTTCAAGCAGGCTTTCTCACTGGAGCCGTTTCCACACCGGCGCCACAAAGAGCTTCTCTCCCCGGTGAGTCTTCACGTGACTCCTGAGGGAGGAATGGTCGCTGAAGGCTTTCCCACAGACAAGGCATTCGTAGGGCTTCTCCCCAGTGTGGATTCTCCTGTGCACGTTCAGGTTAGAGCCTATGCTGAAGGCTTTCCCACAGTGATCGCACTCGTACGGTTTCTCTCCCGTGTGACTTCGCATGTGTGTCTTCAGGGTCGACTGGTTTCTGAAGGCTTTCCCACACTGCCTGCATTCAACGCGTTTCTTTACGAGATGAATGCTCATATGCCTCCTGCGGGACAGATAATCACCGAAGACCTTCCCGCAGGCGGCACACTCATAGCGTCTCTCTTGAGTGTGTATTTTCCTGTGTGCGGTTAGGTTCGAGCTTGCACTGAAGGCTTTCCCACAGAGATCGCACCCATAGGGCTTCTCTCCAGTGTGAGAGTTCATGTGTGTCTTAAGGATGGACTGGTTTCTGAAGGTTTTCCCACACTGTCGGCATTCAACAGGCTTCTTGACGATATGAGTTCTCATATGCTTCCTCCGCGACACGAGATCACCAAAGGATTTCCCACATTCCTTACATTCGTAGGTTTTCTCGACCATGTGGTTCTTCTTGTGCAAATTAAAGTTAGACTTCCACCGGAAGGCTTTGCCACATTGCGTGCATTCGTAGGGCTTCTCCCCAGTGTGGTTCCTGACGTGCTCTTTAAGATGCGAAGGGTGCTGGAACGCTTTCCCACAGTCATGACATTCATAGGGCCTCTCTCCGGTGTGCGTTCTCTTGTGTGCAATGAGGTGGCAGCTTCTGCCGTAGGCCTTCCCACACTGGTCACACTTGTAAGGCCTCTCACCAGTGTGAACCCTCATGTGTATCTTCAGGGCCGAGAGGGTCCGGAATGCATTTCCACACTGACTGCAGTCAAAGGGCTTCTCTTTGAGGTGAGTTCTCGCGTGACTCCTAAGGGCTGAAGGGTCATTGAAGGCTTTCCCACAGTCTGTGCATTCATAGGGTTTCTCCCCGGTGTGTATTCTCCTGTGCCGTGTGAGGGAAGCGCTCGTGGTGAAGGCTTTTTGGCACTGATGACACTCGTGCATTTTTCTCCCATCATACATGCTCACGTGTTGAGTTAGGTGTGGCCTGCCCTTGAAAGCTACCCCATAGTCATGGCGGTGATAGGGCCTCTTGCCAGCATGCCTGCCCATTGGCTGGGTAAGATGGGCACCCATGCTGAAGACGTCAAACAAGTGGGCGTATTCGGTGGACTTCTCTCCAAGACGAGCTCTTTCCTGTTGGTTAAGAGACCAGTGCTAAGACGTTTCCCACATTCATTACATTCCTAAGGATCATCCCCACATACACTGCTACAAATAGAAGCACATCATCATGACTAGAGATGTTATAATTTACCGTGCAAATGTACTGTTCCTGTCTCATTTGAACTCCACCAAAAAGAACAGCCAAATGCTAAGCTGTAAGGCTCTGTGAGTGTTACTTTTACAAAGCTTTCTGCATACAGAGTTTGTCCACTATTTAAAACTAAAATGGGCACCAACACTCGATATCTGAGACATAGCTATGTAAATATTTACTAATGACAACTCCAAGTGAAGAAGTTTGAGGTGAGTCTGGGGGTTTTCCCCAACTTGACAGTATTCGGTGTCTCTGGAACATGCTTCCTCTTGGGGAATGTCATGTGCCTGCTTCTCGAGCTGCTTTTCTAACTTAGGCTGCCCAATCTTTGCAAATGTGGAAGGAATATCTAGATTTATCCCAAGGAACTCTTACTTACCATTGTCACACTGCTGGACGTCTCCTTCCCAAAAATATCTTCCATAAGAATCGACCACTTGGTTTTAGATGGAGTCTCCCAATCTGAAACACATTGGAAAAGGATGAACTTGCTGGAAAAAAAATGGTGGGATTGTGGTGACAAAAACAGGTGGATTTCTTTGCAGATTCTAACCCTAAGCCAGGAAAGCTGATGCGAAAGGGAAAGACACACACGAGCAAAAACGATGGTTGAAAATCTGGTTGTGTGAGATATTTGTCAGTGATGGGGAGAATTTAAGTCTATTCAGATGGACGTTGATAAAGACAGAAAGAGTATTATCAAGAATGTCAAGTATGAAACAATGGGACAAAGAGCCCATGCGGAAACGTCAAATTCAAAGATGAAGGGGCATGGAGGCCAAAGGATTTGTGAGAGAATGTACAGGCAATGAGAACGAGCGAGTGAGCGAGTGCACACACGCGCACGCACTTCCCAATCTCCCTGGGTGACGTTTCCCAATGCGCCTCCCTCCAACCCACCCACCGAGTAGAGCTGAGAGTCACAGCACCACTGCTCACCTACCCGGACAAGGGCCTTGTTGGGTGCCCCTCTCCTCCGTCCTCGGCTCTTCCTCTTGCTCCAAGTGTGAGATGAGGCTGGGCTTGCAGACCTCATACCCTGTACTCACGGGAAAGACACAGTTGAGGGCGGGCCGTGCAGAGGACAACCCCTTCCACTAGACTGGGGTCAACATTTTGGTCTTCAGTGTTCTGAAGCTGGACAAGTCTGACTTAGGAGCAGGAAAATGATGGTGCCAAATTTCTAAAGAACACAGCAAGAGTCTTTCATAGAAAACAAAACCACAAACACCCGCACGTTGGCCCTCCGAAAGGAAGGAACCCGTGCTCAAGCTCAGACACACACTGGAGAACCTGCAAGGTCAACGCTCATAGGAGACACTGCGTGAGGGCCGGCGCCAGGGCTGCCTGTGGGTCTGAACCCCTGCACAGTTCCTGGGTCACAGCAAGAACTTACACGAAAACATCTGATTCACGAATGAAGAAAGAGAGAAATGGTGCCAGCCTTACCCAGTGAAGTGAGGTTGCTGTAGTTCTCCAGCATCACATCTTTGTACAGTTTTCTCTGAGAAGAATCCAGCAGGGGCCACTCCTTCTCAGTAAAGTCCACAGCAACATCTTGGAAAGTCACTGACTCCTGAAACACCACACACGTTTGGGGTCGGGGAGGAACCAGCCTGCTGGCGCTCACAGAAAGAGGGCTGAGGCTGAGGACTGGGCACGAGAGACCCACTGTGGGATTTTCAGACAGTGTGCTACCTAGGTCTCACATCTCTAGACATCAGTCCTCAGATATCTCCTCTTTCCTATGAGGGGATCTTCTCCCATCTCATCGCTTCGAATGCAACTCTTGACGAGGGACCCAATCTCTGTCTACTTGTAGCCTGGTCTAAGAGCTTTTAGTTTTCTTTCCTCTCTGTCTCTGAGGTTGAACATGGGCTTGAGCACTCTACAGGCATGAGAGAAACACTTGCTATGTAAGTCATTTCCCAGCTTCCCCGACACCAAGACAGTCCCCCAAAATTCCCTGGCGCTCTCTCTTGGGCCCTGACCGGGCGTCCATCAGTCAAGATGAAGATCTGAATATTCTAACATGTACTGGTGGGGGCGGCTCTGGGAAGTGCCTCTCCAACCCTCAGGGGCCCTGACACCGTGGGGTACCTGGGAACCAACACCGGCTGGTGCGTGAGGCTCCAGACCATCGCAAGCAAACAGGTCCAAGTCCTGGGGACAGGGACGGCTTTTCAAAGAAAGAGAAAATTCTGACTCCTGGAAACAGGTGGGGTCTTGGGTGGACAAGGCTAGAGGAGAAAAGAGGATCCATGAGAATCACGTTTAAGTACCTGCTGTGACCCGAGAATCTGCTCTACGTCACAACACTTGCAAACAGGGAAACTGCAACACACTGAGTGTCCACACCCCAACATCTCTCTCTCTCCCACACACGTTTTTAAAAAAGCCAGAACAACCCTGTTCCACTCAAAGACATAAAAGAGGGTGGTGGGCCACCCACAGCAAGTGACATACATTCCCAGCTTACGAGTGAAGAAATGGAAGTTCTGAGAGGGACAGTTGTTACCTTGCTCGAATTCACCAAAACAATAAACAGGGTAATGCAAGATCACCCATCAGCTGTGCCCTCTTCACACACCACTGCTCTGCGCTCTCCCTCTCCCAGACCCACCGAGACCCTGGATCAGACACAGTCGCCGCAGTGGCTGCTGCAGCTCTGCTCCACTTCGCTTCCACTCACCCCCTGCCTTGTAGCCCTGTGCGGTGAAGCGACAGCGGCCCCTTACACTGAACTCCCCGGGGCAGGCATTCACCCAAGAACTCACCAAGTGTGGGGGACAGCCCAAGAGCAGCCATCCTGCGAGGACGACAGTCAATTTGCCTGAACGGCGAGCGGAGCGCTGGGAGAACCAGGAAGCTACTCTCTTGCTCTCACGGGACCCTCCAGGCTGGCGTCTGCAGTGAACGAAAGAACGCCAGGAGTGAGTAGTCAAAGGCTGTCTCTCCTGCTCACCAAAGAAAATTCTTGAGTTTTGTTTCTTGATATTCCCTCTTTTGAACAGCAAGTTCTGCCTGACGCTGGGTCTGTCTCTTACCTAGGTAAAGCCTCCAAGCAATGTGGTGGTGGGGGGAAGGGGGAGCCCCTGACCTGCCTCAAGTAGGCTTCAGATTCACTCTCTTCCGAAGTGATTTGCCACCAAACACAACTCAAAGTCCCTCACTCATGAAACACTCCGATCCCAGGTTCTTCCTTCTACCTTCAAGGTCTACCATCCTTTAGGGTGGCTCTATCCAGGGGGATAGTCCAGCCAGGACCCCAAGTTCCAATCGCCAATGCTTTTTGCACCCACATCCCACAGCAAAAGACACACCCTTGGGCCGCAGCCTAGACTGTATCATCACTACAATCAACCTCACCTCCCAGACAATGATTTAGAAATCTGCTCTCTGGACAAAACCTCCTACACAGCCTTCTTCTCACTCCCCCACTTTAGAGAGATTCCAGACCACCTGTGCTTCTGTGGTCTTGTGTCCTAACAGCCACCTGCTGCTCTCACCTGCCCAGCTGAGATTCCCCACAACCCACCACTTCCGACAGTTCATTTGTCCAAACTCCTTTAACTCTGTTATAACCCCTAACTAGCAAAAGACCAGCGTGGACAATTCCAACCACCTGCCTCCTCCCTGGAGGTACCTGGGAAGATGAGTCTGCACAGGACCAGTCACAGCGGTAGAGTAGAAACTCAGAAGCCGCTAACTCCAAGACACATCCACACTAAACAGAAGCCGACTAGTCCATCCAGTCTTCCAGTCTCCCAAAGACCATGTAAAATCTGGCCAGTTTTCCTGAATCAAAACTTTCTTACTGTCCGCAAATAAAACTTGCATTTCACTGCATAGCAATCACAAGTAAAAAACGTACCTCAGCCAAGAACTGGGAAATGAAGGTTTAAACACATTTCATTTATGATAGCATATATCAATCAAATACCTAGGAATAAATCGAGTAAAACCTATGCAGGACCTTGACAATAAAAACTATGAAACACCGCTGGACGAAATTTAAGAGCTAAATAAATGGAAGCGATTTCATTTTCATGGACAGTAAGGTTCAATATTATTAAGGTATTCACTCCTTCCAAATTCATCTGCAGATACGACACGGTCCTTATCAATATCTCAGCAGGCTTTTTTCTTGAAACTCACAAGCCAGATCTAAATTAAGAATGCAAAAGATCTAGAAGAGTCAGAACAATGTTAAGAAAGAAAAACAATCTTGGAAGATTCATACTAATTTTATCACAGTAATGAAGAGTTACTGGAATAAGTATAGACAAAAAGACAATGGAACAGAACAGAGCTAGAAATTAGGCCTGCATATGCAGTCAAATGATGTTCAGTAAGAATGCAAAGTTTGAAAAAAAGGAATTTTGACCTCGTTTCTCACTGCATACACAAAAATTTTACTTTAAACAAATCTTTTGTGGTAAATCAGATACCAATAAATAAAATTCATAAAGATATTTTTCATGACCTACCTAAAGGTTACATAATATCTCAGACTAGACTAAAACAGAACATTTAATAAAACCACAATAAATTGGACTTTACCAAAATAAAAAATTTCTACTTACCAAATGACACCTTGAAAATGAACAGTGAGCAACAGACTGGGAAAAAAAATATATGCAATACATATAACTGACAAAGAATTTATATTCAGGTTACATAAAGAACTACAAAACACCTGGGAGTGGTGGCTCACACCTGTAATCCTAGCATTTGGGGAGGCTGAGGCAGGAGGATCGCTTGAGCCCAGGAGTTTGAGGCTGCAGTGAGCTGTCATGATGCCCCTGCATTCTAGCCTAGGTGACAGAGTGAAACCCTGTCTCAGAAAATAAAGAAATGAATGTCAGACCAACAGCTAACTTCTTATCAGCAATAATGGAAACCAAAAGATAGTGGAACGTCTTCACAGTTTTGGAATAAAATATAAAATCCTATAACCACCAAAATGTCCACTAAGAGGGAAAAATAATCATTTTGGGGCTTGCCATCCAAAGAAAAGAGATATTCTAAAAGATGTATTTCAGAGAGAAAGAAGTAATCAAAGAACCAAAGCAGAGTATAAGAAGCAAGTAAAGCACACAGAGTGGCAAATATGAGTATAATGAAACGATAACAAAAAAAAATGACTATGCAATATTCTGAGGTTTAAAAAAGGACAGAACTAAATATGTACAACTACGTTATATCAATAAAAAAGAACTAAAATGCACAATAAGAAAATCGTATGAATCGAGAGGGATAACATATCAGAATCTAAATTAATGAACAAACATGGATAAGAATTGTTCAGGATGATCACTAAAACAATACAGTAAAAAAGTTCAAAATGTTTAATGAAAAAAGAAAAATACTCAAATCAAAAGAAGTTAGAAGAAAGAAAAAAGAAATAGAGATAGGACAAATGTAACATCCAAATATATTAATATGTTGTTAATGGACTAAATGCTTTAACTAAAATACAGATATTCACAGAACAGATTAAAAATAATACAATTATATGCTATTTATAAGAGGCATCTAAAATATAAGGTTATAGCGAGAATGGAAATAAAGTTATACAAGGCAAATTTTTAAAAAGCTGGTTTAAATACATTAATATCAGACAGAATGGATTAAGGCAAAAAGGATCATAGAGAAAACTGAGATATTCTATAATGAAAATAGATACAAATCATAAAAGAGCTGTATATGTATGCATGTCTGTGTATGTGTGTGTGCTTGTATACATGTTATAACCCCCAAAAATAAAAACAAAAGGGGGGGGGAGGAAGGCAAGGAACAACTCTAATGAGAAATAAGCAAAGTCACCCTGGATCTCTCACAAATACAGTTCAAGTACGCAATTCAATACCATGATTGAACACGATGTAATAGCATTTCCCAACTATAAAATCCAACCACACGTGGGCCATATTTCTCTCCGAAAATGGCATCAATCTCTTGACCACTGTGCAATGAAGTTAGCAAACAACGACCAAAAGATAACCAGGAAAAAAAAAAAAAGTCACAGAAGTGGAAATTAAAAGTAAAAAATTCTAATTTCACATGTCAAAGAAGCCATGATATTTGATACTTAGAATTGAAACATAATAA